CGGATGGGAATATTGCCGGATTGGAGAGGCTGATTACTTTCACCTGGTCTTCGAGAGCCTTGGCTTGAATAGCCTCTTTACTTATTAGTTTATAATTTATCAGCTGTCCTAATTCATAGTTAAGGACAGAAAAACGTCTGTGAAAATGACCGTCTTCCAGAAGATCTTTGCTTAGTCATCTCTGCTCTGCACAGCATTAAAGTTTAAGAGTAAACATCGTCGGGGTCCCTTAATGTGTACTTATTGCAGGACAGTTGGAGTTAGCGCCTCTGTCATGTGATTACCCTCTAATTAAAAGTGGAATTGTCACTGATGGTGGTGGATCATGCCTTTCTTTCATCCCAGTTCGAGAGAGCAGAGATAGATAGATCTCCAGGAGTTTGAGGACAGCCCTGGCTACATAGACTCTGTCTCAAAAACAAAAACAAGCAAACAAAAAACTCAACCCAAAACAACAAAAGAAATGATTTGTCAGAATGTAAATGATCAGCAGATATATGGAGATGATAGTTAGGTCAGCTGTTGTAGGCATTAAAGATGTCTGTTTGAAAAAGGATTTACTGAGGTCCATAATGTTTTAAACTGTGAAAAGAAATAAACCGTTGGCACCTTTTGAGAAGAAATCTGGCGGTAGTGAGGTTTGTTGTCTTGATGATTTTCTGGGCTGAGTCTGTAACATCAACTATATAGAATAAAAATCAGCCTGACGCAGCGGTCAGGCGTGAGACCCTGGAGGGACTGAAGCACGCCGGGAAGTGGCTATGGCCCAGGCTTTTTAGATCTGAGATGATTTCCTCCCTCTTTAAATCAAGGTTTCCTGAGTAGTCCAGGCTGTCCTTGAACCGCTAGTCCAGGTGGCCCTTCTGCCTCAGCTTCCAGACAGGCCGGCGCTATAGGTACATATAACTTGCCTTAAAGCTTGCACAAATTGGCTCTAATTAATTCGTTTTTAAAATCTTGGCTAGGCAGGGTGCCACGTGCCTGTCCTCCTGGTCCTCTGGAGGTGGAAGGAGGGTGGCAGGTGCCCGGCTGGCCTGGCTTCCACAGGGGGACTGTACTGAAGCCAACAAAACCCAGGGAAGTTTCCGGAAAGGGAAATGGGCATGGTAGGGGGAGTTCAGAATATAGTAAGACAAATATTCAGGGTTTTTCCGAAGGGAAAAAAAAAAAGTCATTGTGTGTGTATGTGTGTGCACGCGCATGTGTACGCCATAACTTATTTAGAGAGGTCAGAAGACAACTTCCGGCAGTTGGCTTTGGGGTCTGGAGATCAGTCTCAGCAAGGGCTTGTACTCGCTCTGAGAGACCAAAGAATTAAAATTTTTAGGGGGTTATTGGATTAAAGTGTAACACACAAACCTGAACAAAGTCCAGACATGTCCAGCCATCTGCAGGGAGGAACCAGCCTTACTGAATTCTTTCCTGCCCACTAGAGATACAGTTGCTAGGAAACAGGCCCAGATTGCCCCTCTCCCCTAGGACAGGCAAACAAGGGAAGCCAGACATTAATGGTTTTGGCACCTTCCCACAGCCAGTTAGTTTAAAATGCAACATCCTTTTGTTTTTCAACCAATAGAGGCTTGCCAGGCTGGAATTCCCCAGCCTTGGGCATGCTGGGAGGGACTGGGACCTATAAACTACCCTCACCGCTTAGTTAGTGAGGGTGTGGGCCTGAGCTCGAGCTTGTAATAAAAAGGCCCTACTGTGTTTGCATCAGAATTGGCTCCTTGGTGGCCTTTGGGGTCCGTGAGACTTGGGCATAACTACTTAGCTATCAGCTTGTTCACCGCAGCCTATTTTCAGGTGAAACTACGTTAGTGAATTAACAAAAGTGATCTTTGTGATTTTTCTCTAGTCAGAGCTGCCCGAGAGTTTAAGGAGGTGAGGTTTCTATGGACTAAGCAGCTGAATCCAACTGACTGGAAACTTTGTAATGTCTTCATTGTAAAGTCTTTTTTTTTTTTTTTTTTTTTTTTTTTGCATATGGCGGAGTGATGGCAGTAAAAAGCTGAACGACACTGTCAGCATCAGCTGCGTGTTCTCTGTGTGGGTGCCAGGTGACAAAATCTCGTGCGGGAGCCACTGGGTGACCTCACTTAAACCCAGGATGAGAGCCTCCTGCTTTGGGGAAGCTGCCTAAATGAGAGAGAAAAAAACCTTCCCGGAGATGGGGTGACCAAATGTTTTGTTTTTTTCTTTAAGATTATTTTATTTTATGTGTACAAGTGTCTTGCCAGTGTACACCATGTGGAGGCCAGGAAACAGTGTTGGTTCCCCCGGAACTGGAGTTACAGACAGTTGTGAGCCACCTTGTGGGTGTCGGGATCTGCTGACAAGAGCAGACAGTACTCTTGACTGTTGAGTCATCTATCCAACTCCTGTCCGGGCTGTTTTAAATCATCGTAACAAAATGTTCAGAAAAACAAAAGAGTAGCTCTCAAGTTAAGTTTTCTTCAAAAGAGGGGGCTAGGAGAGTGTTTTTGGAGGTGCCAGGCACATTTATTACCTTGATTTTGGTCTCACAATTACGCCTATTTTCAGATCATTCATATTATAGGAGTTAAATATGTGCATATTTTGCTGTATAAAAAAAAAAAGAAAAATAATCACGATATTCAGATTACATAGGCGCTGACTTGTAGTGAGATGTACTCTGCAAATCAAAGACCTCCACAAAGCAGTAGTAAAACTCTGGGAAGAGGCTCTTTCTTAAACTGTGGACAGCTGCTGGCCTGGCAAGTTTGCTTTGCTATAGGTTATCCAGTGAAAAGTGTGCTTTAGCCTTTCCCTTGAGACAGAAATTAGCAGGGGGTTTTGCCAAGTTTCCTTACCTTGTCTGTGAGACCTTGGACCATGTCTGCCATACAGGAACGTGGTCTTTGAAAGCAAGCTTAACTGTTTCATGAACCCCGTCCTTGGACCAGTGTGAACTGTGTTTGCTTTGTCTATAAAAAGGGATTCGAACATAAACTTGATGCTTCCAGTACTAACTGATCGCCCTCTTGAAACTATCCTAAGTTTTCTGTCTCTTTCTCTTAACCTGCGATTTCTCAAGCCCCCCTCTCTCATGTTCCTTCAGTAAACCCCGAGGTTGAGTGACTGTTGGAGTTAGAATTCTGTTGCAACTGTCTTTTGCATATGAAAGCAAACCATTCATTCAGCTAGTCTTAACAGAAGCTCGTTAATAAGGAAACACATTTAAATATTTTTACTTGACAAGGGATCTCTGTTGAACTATAATTTTTCTTGTGTTCTGATCGTATTTCTACTTTAGGAAGAAAAGTTATTTCTAATGGCATGTACACAGCTTTGCAAAGCAGTAATGTACCAGCAGGCCCTGTTCACCCTGGGAAACCACGCTGGTCACACCTGTTTGACAAAGGAGTATTCCGCACCAGATGTGGTTCTAGCTGAGGCTCCGTCCGGTCCCAGACATGTCTCCAGAGGTTTCTCACAGCTCGCCTTTGCTTGTTTGAAGCCAAAGATTTTGTAATTTTATTTCCAGGCCCATTTTTTTCAGTTTCAAAGATGGCTGACTGAGGATTCATTTTACCAGGTTTCAAAGTCCGGCCCTCTTCACACCCCCCCGTGGTGGCCTGCAGTTCCCTACCTAGCCCAGGCTAACCTCTTAACAGTGCTGCTGCCTCTAGAGTTATAGACCCCACGGGGCACCACCAGCTTTCTTCATTTTCCCTTCAAGGACCTTTTCTGTTGCTTAAAGACAGCTTTCTCTCAGTCTCTGACCTGCGGAACTGGTTGGAGCAGCCTCAGTCTGATACTGTAACTTTCGTTGGGGGGGGGGGGTGTCCTTTAAAATTGGCCCACCACCGAGATTTACAACCTGCTTTCCAAATAATTAAGCCTCATCTCCTCCGTCAGCAAGTCCAGCACTTGATTCTCCTGGAAGGACTCCCAGCGCCTTATAAGTAAGGAGTTTAACGATAGGAAAGCAGCTGTGAGTTTTAATCTTTGAAATAGTTGACGTATGACGTATGGACGTTTTGCCTGCTCTGCAGGCCCTACGTACCTCACTTTTTAACCCTTTAGCTTCACCCGGGAGTCACAGTTGTAATTTGCTCAGTCTTTCAGATTTTATCACACATGTCAATTTTCCTTCAAGTTTCATTTATTCCTAGTTAAAATCAAAAGCACTTTCTGTTATAAAATTAAGCCACCCTTTTTATCTTTTTAAATGCTTCCGTATTGAGACAGGGAGATAAAGTAGAAAATGTCAGAATTTCAAAAGCAAAACAATTTGATACAGTTATATGGAAAGTAAGGACTACTTAATGTAAGCGGAAGTTCCCCTTCTGATGACAGCCAGCATTTCGGTAAGATTTCCAGTCAGCTTCTGTAATTACAAACAGAGAAGCCTTGGGTGTTCTTGCAAGCATTAAAGCTGACTATACTTTTCAGGTACTTTATTATATGCATTTGTGAGTGAGTGGGCACATTATCACTTGGTTATATGGTAATTTTATTTTACGTACTATATATTATATGCTTTATATAGTTAAAATATTTATAGGCTATCATATTCTAGAAAAGCCCTGTGAAATAAAAATTTCCTTCCTTCCTTCCTTCCTTCCTTCCTTCCTTCCTTCCTTCCTTCCTTCCTTCCTTCCTGTCTACCTGCATTTCTTTCTTTCTCTCTTCCTTCCTTTCTTTCGTTCATGAGGTCATTGTAGTTCAGGCTAGTGTTGAATCTGAACTCACTACGCAGCTGAGGATAAACCTGGAGTTCTGATTCTCTTCTTCCTCCAGAATTCTGGGGTTTCAGATATGGACCACTATTCTTGGTTTATGTGGGAGTTGGAATTAAGCTTAGAAGTAAATCCAGATTGTGTGCATGCTAGGCAAGGACTCCAGCACCTGAGCCACAGCCTCAGCTTGCTTTGATTACTTTTCTTTAAATTATATTTAATAATTGAAATAACTGTAGCAGTATGGTACCATATAGTATGTGTTGTTTACTTATTTGCCTTATTATTTTCTTTCAGTATATCGACTTTTATAAAAGAATGGAATCAAGTGATGGCTTTTTCTTTAGAATTTGAATATGGAGGCTTCAGGAACAGATGAAGTTGACAAGCTAAAAACTAAATTTATATCTGCTTGGAACAACATGAAATATAGTAAGTATTGTGATTTAAGCATTGGGTAAGCTTACTTGAGAATGAAATACTCTATTATGTCTGGAATATGGATGGACTGTAAACAGTGTGATAAGAATCTCTTGGTGACAGTGGAATATAATTATGAACATTGCCTAGAGACTCAAGTATAGTATGTTGAAATGTGGGCATGATGGTATATGCCTGTAATCCCAGGATTCTGGAGGTAGAGGCAGGAAAATCTATGATTTCAAGGCCTGGTCCATATAGCGAGTTTAATATAGTAAACATATAGTGTATGTGCCCCTGAGATGCCCTTCAGTCCCAGTTCTTTTCTTTTTGGAGGCAAGGTCTCATTTAACTCTGGTTGTTTCTATCTGGCGCAGGCTAGTTTTGAACTCATGATCTTCCTTAGTCCGCCGGGGTTCTATGTGCAGGGCGTCACAATCGGCCAGTAGTTCCTCTGTCTAAGATTAAGTAATACTTTGTTGTGTGATTCTACCTGACATTTTGCTTGCTTTTCATCGGTTAATTCTGAGTTTCTCTGAGTAGCGTTGCTGTGAATGCTCTAGTACACATTTTGCGTAAACGTATCTCCAATGCTGAGTCGGTAACAGCAGTCAGAGATCTCATACCCTTGGCATGCTTTCACCAGAGATTCAGGATGGTTCCTGCTGTTATGGATGCCAAAGAACACAGCCCCTCTCTCTCCCATTGCTGACAGATGGGAAGGAAGCAACCGGAAGAGTAGATTGCGACTTGAGCTGGGGCTGAGGAGAGTAGACTGAAAGCCCAGATGAGGATGCCTGAGCGCCTTGTTTGCATCTAGACAGTTATATGAGAGACCAAGTTTACCAGGCGTGCTGGCCTACTGTGTACTCTCCTTAGGTTCTTCTCCAGGGGCTTCCAAATGCTGCATGCCTTTAAAATATCTGAGATGGAAGACAGTTCAAAACGCTGATAATCTGTGTTTCCTTGGTGAACAGAAGTTAGTGGGAGGGAAACAGGAGTAGAGTCCCTGCCTTTTCAGTTTGTGCCAGAAGAGCATTGTGACCTGTCAAAATAAACCAAAATCACTTTTTTATTTTCTTTCATGTTTCTGAAGTGGCAGATTTTGGTCAAAAGACTGAAATTTATTTAAACTAGCATAAATAGCCTCTAATTTTGTTTCATTGTCTTAAGTGTTTTGTAACTTCTAGAAATGCACAATGGTAGTGATAATGATGACCTGAAGTTAACCACGAGGAAAGAAATACTGCAGGACTTTTACTTTGAAATCTTAACACCAGAACCCTCTTTCTCTCCATGCAGGTTGGGTGTTGAAAACAAAGACATATTTTAGTAGAAATTCACCTGTTTTATTGCTTGGGAAGTGTTATCATTTTAAATATGAAGGTGAGTGATGAATGTGCAAAGCGCTGTTGTGACATGTCAGCCACCTACGCTTTGTTTAACATAATGTGTTATGACATGATTTGGTCCTTGTGCAATTCTGGAGCTAAGGAGTATGCCAACTCTTGCCACAGCCCTGATATTTTGGACTTTGATTCTGTGTAAGTGCTAATTAAATATTACTTGAGTTGATATGCATGTGTCCTTTGTGAAGTTCTCTCGTAATGTTAGTATACGATAATAAAGTAAATGATTTCCCCGGTGACGTCACCAAGGATCTGCCCAATCCTCACATCCCAACCTCTCTGCAGTATGGAAACAAACTCCTATTAGTCAGCCGGGCTTTGTCGGTGCAGGCTCTTTCCAGAACTCTCCTTCACGCCTTTCTTTTCCCATCCTTCCTTTCCCCTCTAGCTGGGGCTTCATCCTCCCTACTGCTTCCTTGGCCCTGTTCTCCAGGTCCTTCTCTTGTTCCTTCTCTCCTCTCCCCTTACCCTTCTTCCCTCGTGGAGTTCCCCTTCTGCTTTCCTCTTAAGCTGTGTCAGTATATCGCAGAGGTTCTGGCCGGTGGTGTTTTCATTTTCATTTGACTGTAGGCATTCCTAAGGTTCTTTCCATCCAGTGGAACGGACCCTCTGGTCATTGAAGAGTTCATTGCCTGGACTCCATCTATTTGTACAGCTTTTGTAGTTTTTAGAATTTCTTGGTATTGTGGAATCAGTCTCCACTAAGCCTCCAATATTACTAGCAAATTTCTTTTGTTTTTTGCTTCCTTCCCCTACTTTTTATTGTGTGGTTCCTTGAAAGAGTCCTCATTCTTCCTAAAGCTCTTGGGACAGAGTTCATTTAGTACTGACAGTTTCTCCATGGTATTTAGTGCTGACCAGGTCTGAGGAGGGTAAGAAATGGCTTACGTCTTGAGAGGAGATGGGAGCTCTGTTTGTAAGATGAGGCATGACGAGAGCCAGGAGCTATTTAAAGCGTCATTTAGAACAAATGTTGCTGTCAGCAGTGGCACATTTAGACATATTGTAGCGCCATGTTTAATTTCCAGGCATCTTTATTTGTAACTTACTTCAAGTTCTCTATAATATTGAGAGAAAGTCATGTCAGTGGAAGCTTGGCATTCATTTGTTTATCATCCTCTGCTGAATCGATGTGAAGTTAGAGGGATGGGAAAATTTCAAAGTGAGCAGAAGGGATGGGTAGAGGAAGAATGAGGAGAGAGTCCAGTGGTAGGCTCTCCGCCTTTCCTGTCCTGCAGAAAGGCTCAGGATGCTGGGGTTCTTGGGACTATACTGTAGCTAGATGTATTTACTTGCTCACATACCCACACATCCAAGCTAACCAGAGCTAACGCTTGTTAGGATCCACCAATGCTGTGCAGCGTCTCCAGCTGCAGGCTAAAGGTGAAGTGGTCTCTCTGGGAATACCTGAGGAACAATTGTTCATTCTGAGAAAAGTGCTCTGTAAATTATTGGGCAAAAAAATGTTTTTTTTTTTTTTTTTTTTTTTTTTTTCTTTCTCATAGCAACTGTGATAGAGACAGCCAGTCTGCAGAGGCCTTTAAAATGATATGTGTAGGTAGCAATACATTCTGAAGAATGGTATCCGGATTTAAAAAGATGTTTAGGCTTTAAGAAATTTACATTCTTACTCTGTAAGTTATTAGTTTTGACTTTTTAATTTGAGTATCAATGTTCGTGACAGTGCAATGTGCACCTTTTTAAAGCATTAGCTCATGTGATGATATTCATTTTTACATATTGACAAGTCACAACATCTTATTTGCAAGTCACATTTCACAGAGCTCTAATAAGTGTGTCCTGAGCCAACAGAGGTAAAAAGTCAGTCATCCAGAAGGGATTTTACACATGTGCAAGATGTTGACTGTTACCGGTACATTACTGTTAATCCTTGTATTGTTTGCCAGAGCACAGACTACCCCAGGATTCATCCCTGTGTGATTAGACAGCTAAGGCTTATATTCCTTTTAAATGAGAAAAAAAAAACCCAAAACAACAACAACAACAACAACAACAAAACAGCAATGGTGTTGCCACTGGGCACACTTCCTCACCTATCTTTATGCTGCATAACTTACATTTTCACCTATCTCGTAGATGAAAACAAGGTGCCGCCTGCAGGATCAGGGTGCGCCATTGAAGACCATGTAATCGCAGGGAACGTGGAAGAGTTCCGCAAGGACTTCATCTCTAGAATATGGCTGACCTACAGGGAGGAGTTCCCTCAAATAGAAGCTTCCGCCTTGACGACGGACTGCGGCTGGGGCTGCACTCTGAGGACTGGCCAGATGCTGCTGGCCCAGGGCCTCATACTGCATTTCCTTGGTAGAGGTAACTCACGTCTCTCTGTTCGTGGCTGCTGTCATTTTTACTCAGCATCAGCCTGTGTGGCACGTCCAACTTCTGAGGTTAACCCCAAGAATTAATCGATTATAACTGTACTGAGCTGAGCTGACTGTCCTACATGTACTTGACTCTTCTTTCAGAACTGCAGATTCAACATGGCTCCTCACCACAGTGAACGTAGCTCATGTTTTCTTATTTTAGTTGGGTTCTTCAGTGTATTAAGTCCTAGGCAGAAGAATGGTTTTTTTTCCTTTTTCTTTTTCTTTTCCTTTCTTTTCCTTTCCTTTTTCCTTTTTCCTTTTTCCTTTCTCCTTCTTCCTTCTTCCTTTTTCCTTCCCTTCCCTTCCCTTCCCTTCCCCTTCTTCCCTTTCTTCTTCCCCTTCTTCTCTTTCTTTTTCCCCTTCCCCTTCTTTCCCTTCTTCTTCCCCTTCCCCTTTTTCCTCTTCTTCCCCTTCCCCTTCTTCCCTTTCCCCTTCTTCCCTTTCTTCTTCCCCTTCTTTCCTTTCTTCTTCCCCTTCTTTCCTTTCTTCTTCCCCTTCTTCTTCTTTCCCTTCCCCTTCTTCTCCTTCCCCTTCTTCCCCTTCTCCTTCTTTCCCTTCTTCCCCTTCTTCCACTTCCCCTTCTTTCCCTTCTCCTTCCCCTCCTTCCCCTTCTTCCCCTTCCACTTGCTTTCCCCTTCCCCTTCTTCCCCTTCCCCTTGCCTTCCCCTTTCCCTTTTTCTTTCCCTTTCCCGTTTTCCCTTTTCCCTTTCCCCCTTTCCCTTTCCCTTTTTCCCTTTCCCTTTTCCCCTTTCCCCTTCCCCTCTCCTTTTTCCCCTTCCCCTCTCCTCTTTCCCCTTCCCCTTCTTCTTCCCTTCTTCTTCTTTGTGTTTTGCTTTGACACAGGGTTTCTCTGTGTTGATTTGGTTGTCCTGGACTCACTTTGTAGACCAGGCTGGCCTTGAACTCACAGAGTCTGCCTCCCAAAGTGCTGGGGTTACAGATGTGTGCCACTGTGCCTGACAGCAGCAGAATTTTTACACTGGGTTTTTTCTCTGTTTGTGTCAGTAATTTTTAATCTTTATAAATGATAACCAGAATTGTATATTATTATTATTATTATTATTATTATTATTATTATTATTATTTTGAGACAAGGTCTCACTATGGAGCCCTGACTGGCCTGGAACTCACTATGTAGTTGAGGCTGGCCTTGAATTCATAGAGATCAACCTGCCTTTTTCTCTTGGATGCTAGGCATGTGCTACCAAACATGGCTATAATTTTTTATATTAAAATGTTAGAGATATTCTTGATCAGAACATTATGTTTAGAGTTTAGAAAAGACTTATTAAAATAAATAAATGTGTGTGTATCTGTGTAGAGGCCAGAAGAAGACATCAGGTTCTCTGGAGCTGGAATTAGAGGCAGTTAGGAGGTGCCCAACATGGGCTGGAGACTGATTCTGTTTTCTCCTACAAGAGCAGCAAACACTCTGAACTGCTGATCCATTTCTTCAGCCCCAGTGCTTAGACTTTGTTTGTCTGTTTGTGATTTTTCAAGACAAGGTCTTTCTGTGTAGCCCTGGCTATCCTGGAAATCACTCTGTAGCCCAGGCTGGCCTTGAACTCACAGAGATCCACCTGCCTCTGCCTCCTGAGTGCTGGGATTAAGGTGTTTGCCACCCTTGCCCAGCTTGCACGTAAACTTTTAAACCCTCAGAAATATCTCATTGATATTCAAAGTCGTGTTTACTTTCTAATGTCATTCTCCTGTCAGTCAGTTTTTTATGATGCATATCTTTGTAAGAGGGTTTTGTTTTACCATTTTAGGCTATCATCTCTGGCTAAAGTGTTAGACAATATCCCTGTACCAGTAACTTTTCTGTAGAGGTGATTGAAGTCATTTAGTAAGACAGTTGGCTAGTAGTGAGACTAATACAAAGAAAAAGGTGTTTTTTTTTTTTTTTTTGTTTTGTTTTGTTTTGTTTTTAATCTTTAAAATTTTTACTCATTGGAGATTAAGCTCAGGGCTTTGGCTATATGCTGGAAAAGCGTAATAAACCCAACTAAGAAAGACTCAGTTTAGACCAGTTTTCTGGGGGTGATTTGTTTGTGGTCCTGTATACTCATGAACAGGGATGGGAATGTTTATTCCTGATCTCTGAACCTGTGATTTAATCTAAACTTAAAATGATTTGCTTCATTAACTTACAAATAAAGTTTGAAGATTACCACATTTTTAAAAATGGTAAAATAATGCTTATGCTTAATGTGTTTAGATCTTATATCTTTCCTGGATTTATTCATTAGCTTTAGTTTACTAGAGAACTTCTATTATTACTTTCCAACAAACCATCATGGTATATTCTGAAGGAAGGCACCAGGAAAATATCTTGAAGAAAACTTACATTTTTAGTAGTTGTTGTTCTTCTTCTTCTCCTCCTCCTCCTCCTTTTTTTAAAAACATATAATCAAAACTAATCTTTCTAAAGATATCTACTCGGAATGCTATAGATGTTAGTAAACATTTTTTTTTTTTTATTTTTAAATTGTGCCTTTGGGAAGCCCAGAAGTCCAGCTGACTGGCAGTGGAGTTCGGGAGTCTATTTAGACTGAGGATTGCCAAAAAAGAAAACCATATTGAAGGGTTATCCATTTGTACCTGAGTTTAGCAGCTATTTTGTTTTTAACTTTTTTTTTTTTTCTTAATTACATGTAGCACATTCTCAGTTTGGAAAATTTAGAAATTACAGAGTAGTTGAGACATTCAGATCTAAGTATATCATTGATGTTACCGTATTCTTTTACTCATGTTTTTTGTTTTATTTCATAAGCACATCTTGCCATCCGGCTTAGTCTGGTCCAGAATGTTTTCCTGGCCTGTCCCCCGCCTGGGCCTCCTGAGCACTGCTCCTCCCCCGCCCCCATTCTTCCTCTTTTGTGACTCCTTCCTTCTGCTTTTTTATTTTCTGTTTAGTACTGAGGATGAATTCCAGGGCTTGGAGAATGTCAGACAAACACTAATCTATAACCCCATCACATTGTTTTTGTTTTTTTCGAGGCAGGTTTTCCCTGTGTAGGCTAGGCTGGCCTCCGTGCCCCATTGTCCTACCTCAACCTAGCAAGTGCTGGGGTTGTAGGCAAGAGCCACATGCTTTGTATGGCTTCTTCCTTCCTTCCTTCCTTCCTTCCTTCCTTCCTTCCTTCCTTCCTTTTGAAATAGGGTCTCACTGTGTATATAGACTAACTTCCAACTCAGAGATTGGCCTTCCTCAGCTTCCCAAGTGCTAGGATTTAAGGTGTGTGCCTCCATGCCTGGCATACATTTTTTTCCTCTTTCAAAGCAGCTTTGAAGTGGTCAGCCCTGAAATCATGTACATACAAATAACACTATATGTAATGATCAGGTTATATATTTAGGAGTGTATATATGTTATACACACACACACACACATAACAATAACAATAGTTAAAGAAAAGAGGCCATGAATTTTAATTTCAAAAAAAAATTAAAGAAGCTTTATTGTGATATAATCTGTATGCATTTACTCATTTAAAGTGAGCACTTCAGTGGTTTGGAGTATTCTAACAGAGCTCTGTAGCCATCACAATGTCTAATTTTAGAATATTTTTATTATTGCACAGAGAAATCTTAAATCCTTTGGCAGCCATCCCACCCTGTTTGTACAAACACTCTGATTTCTGCCTCTGTACAGTCCTGAGTTTCTGTTTTGGTTCAGTAACCTGGGTGGCTTTAAATGCTGTGTGTTTATTTACTATGGTCATCAAGGTCTCTCTGCTTGAAAAGTCTGAGTCTTGCTTTGGAATTGCTATAGCTTGGACCTGGCCTGATGCACTGCACATCGAGAATTCGGACTCTGACTCATGGCCTTCCAACACTGTCAAAAAGTTTACTGCGTCATTTGAAGCCTCGCTTTCAGGGGAAAGAACGCTCAGAACCCCAGCAGCATGTCTGAAGGAGACGGTGGGGAAGCACTGTGACGACCATTCAGTGCGGAATGAGACTTACCACAGGAGAATCATCTCCTGGTTTGGAGACTCCCCCGGGGCTGTCTTCGGCTTGCATCGACTGATCGAGTTCGGGAAGAAGTCTGGGAAAAAGGCTGGCGATTGGTACGGACCAGCCGTGGTCGCTCACATTTTAAGGTATCGTTGTCTTCAACCCTTCCATCTTGTGTTCAGAAATATCAACTTTGAAGTGAGTGCACGCAGCTGCAGCTCTTGCTTGTAGGTACAAATATCCAGTGTCTCTTTCTAACTAGGTTCTTGTTAGATTAGATTGGAGTCTGGAGGGAGATCATATTAGTTTTTTTTTTTAATGTAACCAATTAATTGATGTCTAATAAGGTGTCAAGAGCTAAAATTATTGTTTTAGCTTTTCCATTCACATTTCAAATTCATATGCATGATAAAATAGTGAAGCAAACATTTATGAGCCACCATGCGGTTGCTGGGAATTGAACTTAGGACCTCTAGAAGAACAGCCGGTGCTCTTAACCACTGAGCCATCTCTCCAGCCCATGAAGCAAACATTTATAAAAGCACAATCACAATAGATAGTTTCTAACTTTCAAGATATCCCCAGGCTTAATATGCTTTTCCTGTAGTGGCAAATGGTAAGTATTTAGTGCTTTACAGACTAACATGTTTCTGTAATTCATTCTTCTTTTTTTCTCATTCAATATTTGACACTGTCAAAACTATTCTTATAAAAACAGTCTGCAGGTTGTATTTGGCCATAGTTATCTGGTGTTTCATCTATACTATTATACAGGAACTTACATAGTAGAATATTTAAAGTTAAACAGAAATAAAGATATAGACAAATTAAATATTTTACTTGCCACATCTGCATAATTTCTTTTTTAGATTTTTTTTTTTATCACAACACATGCCATTGAAAATACACAGAAGTGCCTCATAGTTTGCAGTTTTGCTTACTGAATTTCAACACTTTAAATTAGGAAACTCATTTGCTCAGGTCCTATTGTTGTGTCTTGTTTCCCCCTGCCCCATGGCTCTAGGTATCAAACCCGGGACCTCAAGATGCTAGGCAAGTGCTGAACTGCAGAGTTGTGCTCTAGCCCCTCATACTGATTTTTGAATGGTGTGAATAAGCTGAACCATTGTTTAAAGTTAAAAAAAAAAAAGAACTTTGAGAAGTGTAGCTGGGGTCAAGGACAGTTAATAACATTCTTTGTACTGGATATCTTACTGTGGAGCAAAGCTTGGATCCATGTGACTTAGGATATCCAGGGAGCTGACGACGAAAGGAACGCCTTTGAGTGCTGGGAGATAAGTTTTCTACCCAGGTTCTGAAGGCTTGCTTTGTCTAGAGAGCCTTCATTTTGAGCCTCTGGGTAATGCAGTGTAATGTTCAGCTTTGGAAAGTGAAGCTGATTTTTGACACCGTTCATGTGATAGATTCGACAGCAGACATGCTGGCTACACACGAAAGGCAGAGAAGCCACAGAGTATTGTCCTTTTTAAACTAAATCTTTAGGTGCCAACAGTAAGTCTTGGTTAGGACTCTAAGGATGTTTATTATTTTCCCAGAAAAGCAGTTGAAGAAGCGCGGCACCCTGATTTGCAAGGAATAACTATTTATGTTGCACAGGACTGCACAGGTATGGAGTGTGTAAAATTCCAGCTGTGTTATCTTATTGGCTCAGACCCTTCGTGTGTGTGTGTGTGTGTGTGTGTGTGTGTGTGTGTGTGTGTAGCTCATCTCTTCCTGGTTATAATGATTATGAAAATGACAGCCATTTGTTCCCCTGCAGCACTTTTCAAGTAACAAGAATTTAGTATTTTTTTTTCTGAGTAAATGCCATTAAATATTAATTAAAGTATATTCGCAAAGAAAGTTTGGACGTTTACAATGATTATCTTGCTATCTTTCTCCTCCCTGAGACAGGCTTTCACTGTGTAGCCTGGGCTGGTCTTGAACTTACAATTCTATTTTCGCCTACCCTGGCACCCCAGCAGCTAGTGCTGAGGGTGTATCGGAACACTCAGTCGAACATTCTCTTTAGTTAGTCAGCTTAAGCCAGTTATGATGACTCATGCTTCTAGTTCTGGCCCAAGGAGGCCTGGGCAGGAAGGTCAGACATTTGAGGAAAGAAAATTCTGAGTTTCCCTTAGAAATATGTTTCCTGCCAGTGTGCCAAAAAAAATCACCTCTCATGGTTGTTTGGGGTCGTCTTTTTGGTAGCTGGTATCTGTAGTTATCCTGAAACTCTGTTGACAATAGAAATAGAGGCTTTAACTTCCTGAAATAAAGTAAGCCACCCCATGCTGTAAGTTATTTTTTTCCCACAGGAAAGCTATTAAGAGGATAAAATTAATGCTTTAGAAAAGTAGGAAATATGCCTGTCAGGTTTAATAGGAAGATATTTACAAAGCTGGCCACCAACAAGGGCACGTAGTATTGAAAGAGTGGCTTGTGTCTGGCATCTTCTGCTTCTGAAAACATTTCTTCATAGTGCGTGAGAGTCGTGAGCATGTGCGAGTCGGAGGACAACTTGCAGGAACAGGTTCTCGCCTCCCATCTTATGGTCTCTGGGGGTGGAACTCAGGCTGTCGGGCTTGGGGGCAAGAGCCTTGCTGCTTAGACACCCCGAAGGCCTGCGTTTGTCACCGAATCAAGTGCAACACCCTCTGGCTTATCTTAGCTTTTGCTGTTTGTCCTCCATTTCCCAGCTAAAACATACGCTCAGGGAGATCAAGACTTGTGTTTTACTTCTGCTGAATTTCCAGGGGCTGTGTGCACGGAATTTTGCATTTAGGGATACTGGAGACCGGATGACCAGCGGTGGAGGGTGGGGGCAAGAGTAAGAATGTTGATTCGGCTGCCTCTATAGCATTCAATACACGCATGCCCATTGTGTTTCCCCAGTTTACAATTCTGATGTCATTGACAAACAGACTGAATCTGTGACCTCTGGAGATGGGCGTGACAAGGCTGTTATTATTTTAGTTCCTGTTAGACTTGGTGGAGAGAGAACCAATACGGACTACCTGGAGTTTGTGAAGGTAAGAGGCGCTCAGTGCTCTTTCTATTTTGGGGCTCAAGGCAGTAGTACCTAATATGAAAAATATAGAAGCATTTCAGAATCTGTTCCATAAGTAAGTTGTGACCCCACCTTGTGAAGTTTGGCAATTGGGGATCTTCAGTTTCGCCACTGAGAGATTACGTGTGGGTCTGAAGAGCATCCCTCTATGACTGAGTGAAAAGCCTTTGAGTCTTTGTGCTAACTGACTGGCCTGCAGGAGCGAGGTTTGCAATATGGCCACTACTCGAGTGTCCTTTTCTGATTAACACAATGTTTATCTTAGTTAATCTTAAAACCAACATTGAAACATGGCAAACTAATTATGACACTTTTATAATTACTAATAAAAACTGTTAAAATTACTACTGCATTTCATAACTTGTTATCGTGACACCACGATGCCAGTGAGAAATTGGTTATATAGGCAGAAGTCAGTATGGAGGAGGGGAGGGCCCAGCTTAAAGGCTATTCAATCCCATAGTATATAATTTTGTTTCTTGAACCAAAAGAACCTGTCTGGTCACGTGCTTAGTGAGTTAGGCACTATGACATTCAGTTTTGAAGCAATGTCTTAGTAATATTGAGTATTTGGTTAAGTTTGTAGTTTTAATATTACGTTCAGTTTTAATAAAATGATTTTTCTCCTTGCTGTGATGAAACACTTGACAGTATAAACTTTAGGGAGTTGCAGTGCAGAGGTGTTCAGTCCTTCACCTGCAGGCGACATGCAGCCCAGGGTAGCCATGAGTGCTAACCTAGCAGAAGTGTAACTTACCTCAGCTGTTGTGATTTTTTTTTCCCCCTTGTCCTTTGGCTTTGGTGACTAGACCACATGGTCCCTTAGTGTGAATGTTGGTGCGATGGCCGTGCTGCTGTGTGGTCGTGCACAACACATGTGTGCAATGATCTTCTACTTGCCTGCAGGTGCTGCATCTGTGTCTTCCAAGGTGCTGTAATAGGCATCTAATGTTACTTAGAAGACAGAAGAGTATTCTATTTGATAACCAAGGTTGCGGCTACTCCTCAGCTGCGTCTCCTGTGTTGCTCACCGTTCTTGCCAGCTGGCTTCTCTCTGTACTGCATCAGCAGCTGGGATATGAAGGACTCATCCATATCTTTCTACTTTTCTATCAGTTAATATTTACGGTCAAAATAATTATCATCCCCTGTGTTAACTATGTTTTAATCCTAGCATTGCTTATGCAGTGTCTCAAAGGGAAACAGAACTGGGGCTAGGGAGATGGCTTAGCTAGGCAAGCTCCAGGAGGACCTGAGTTTGAACCCCACGTGCCCTCAGAAAGGTGGGCATGGTCCCTAAATCCCAATACCAGGAGGGATGTGGATTTGCTGGCCAGTCAGTCAGTCCAGCTAGTCAATGAGTGTGAGGACTAGTGAGAGACCCTGTTTCAAGAAATAAGGGAGAGAGCAACCGAGGAAGACACTTAATATCATCCTTCCACATACAAGCACCCACAATGCACTCAGACTCATGCACACCAGGATGGGGGGAGGAGAAGAGAAGCCCAGAAGAAGAAACATTATAGAGAGAAGAAGACTGTTGAGTGCAAAGTGATGAGTTTTCTGTTGAGGTAAAATGTAAGGTTGTTTGCCCAGCTGGTCGGGAATTTGTGTAAGTTTTCAAAGATCGTAATCTGAAAAGTCACTGCATGGAATACAAGCTGTCAAGTTTGATGTGTGTCAGGGTTGTGTGTCACGAGGACAGAATAGTGGTGCCGAACAAAGGACGAGTCTCAACAAAATCGTTTTTGAAAGTTATGATTTGGACAGATTCTATTGTAAAAGCTAGTTATGTGACAGCATATTTAATAGCAAACAAAACAAAACAAAACAAAACAAAAACAAAAACAAAACCAACCTATCTCCTGGTGGTGAGTTTATTACGTGATGCATGCAGAGCGTGGCCGGCATAACGTTACGTGCTTTGAGAAAAGGGACAGTTCTAAAATCAGTTTGTCTCACCTGGCTGTGGCCATGTAAATTGAAGAAACTGGAAAGTTTATTGAAAGAAGGTTGGAGAGTAGAGCCACTAACTAACTCTTCTGTGTGGGCGCTCAGTCACACCTCAGCCAGACAGATGCAGCTCAGATCATCACTGTCACTAAAAGCACTGATGATGAATCTAAAAACATGGCTTCCTTTGTGTCGTTAAAAGGCACAGTCAGGTCACTGGGTTTCTGTAAAGCAGTAGCAAACAAAGCCATGTTTATGTCATGGCGTCTGTGGTAGTTTCCAGTGGTGCCCTGGGAAAAGTAGTTAGAAGAGAGGGGCTTGTGCAGTGAAGACAATGCCACCACTGCCCAGAATCGGTGTCGAGCGAAGCATTGCATAATACGTGAAGAAAATGTGTGTGTGCAACGTGAAGCTTGAGTAATGATATGAAAATCTTAACTAGTACAGAATTTCATTAGGACGGAGGGATTTAGTCCTCTCCCACCCCAGAATTTCATAAAACGTTGATGTTGACTGTGGCTACTTCTGTAAGAGGCTAAGTCAAGGCCAGACGCTGAGAGGATTTTATGATTTGCAACATTATCGAGTCCTTTTTGATATCAAAAACAAAATTGGTACCAGAACCTGACAATGAAAACTAAATGCTTACGCATGTAGCATTTAGCCATTCCCTTTCATGGTTAGACATGTGTCTTCAAGGGTAAAACCAATTTATGAACACAGTGTTTCAAATCATCTCATTTTAAGTGAAACTAAAATTGTGGTAGTTCGAACTCAGGCTCTTTAAACAGTCTTATACATTTCAACACACTAGTTAAAAACAGCCTTGAGGAGACAGAGAAATACATGATGAGATTGCTGGACCAACCAAAGACCATGCAAGAAGAGGACCTCGATGCCCTGCTCAGATGTAGCCCACGGCAGCTCAGTCTCCATGGGGGTTCCCTAGGAAGGGGAGCAGGGGCTGTCTCTGACATGGACTCTGTTGCCTGCTCTTTGATTACCCCTGGCGGGACAGTCTTGCCAGGCCACAGAGGAAGAGGATGCAGGCAGTCCTGATGAGACTTGATAGGCTGGGGTCAGATGGTAGGGGAAGAAGGCTCCTTCTTTCTGAGGACTAGGGGAGGGAAACGGAGGGGGAAGAGAGAGGTAGGGTAGAAGGAGACGAGGGAGGGGGCTACAATTGGGATATAAAGTAAATTATATAAAAAAATAAAAATAAATTAGAAAAAATCCCCTTGAAAATGGACTTCAAGAATTTTGGGAAAATAGTGTCTGGGATTCCAGGTTTAGCTGCCATAAAACATTACCTGCTAATTTCCCCACGGAATGATTAGAGCTTCACCCTGGCATTCATCTTAAAGAAGCTGACGTCTCTTGACTAGACTCCCAGAGGTCTCAGTCTTCCAGAGACAAGCGTTGCTGGCTTCTGCCTTCCACCTCATTCGTGCCATTGCTGTTTGCCGCATCCACATCTGTGAGCAGCCAGAGTGACACTAGGACCGCAGCACCTGACGAGCACCTGAGGAATCCACTGAGAGCTGCCGTTAAGTCCACCAGCATTCGCTTCTCAAGTAGAATGCCGAAGACCCCGTTACTTTTATGTTTCCACCTTTTCTTCATGTAATAACAGTATTTAAAAACCCATCAATGTTTATTATGTAGGTATGCTCCCTTTCTTGATCTATGCCTGCACGCATAGCAGCTGCTCAGTGATTTGCTGAGGCTCTCTGAGCGGCGCGTTCCGTAATCAGGGTCAGAGCATGCATGTGCTGGCGTGCAGCGTGAAAGTGACACACAGACCTTCCTCCTTTTGCTCCACGGCTTTTGTTTGTATTTGCATATTGAATGTGTGGCGAGAGAAGCCTACAGGCCAGGCACCCCTGGTGTAAAGCTTGAGGCCTGGAAGGCCTGCTGAGACTGTGGCTGCCCATGGTGGGGGGCATGAAGAGGCCTGCTCAAATATGGAGGATCAGGAAACACGCTGTTCCTGTAATACCCTCAAAGGCCTGTTGCTAGGCACTGCACCTCCAGCAGCCTTCCCCCTCCCCCAAAACTTCCATTGCTCTCCCAGACAGCGCGATTGCCCGAGAGAGCCAAGTTTTTTAAACCCTTGAGCCTATGGGGACACTTCACATTCAAACCACATGGCTTCCTTGAGCCAAAGCCTTTTCTTGGTGGCAGAAGTTGCCAGGGCCTTGCGGCTGTGTTTCATCTGGCAGAGGGCTCTGTTGTTTGTAGCATTGACGGCCACACTGCTTGGTGCACCTGAGCGGTGTCCTGGAGCCAGAGCTAGCGGGGAACAAGTGCTTTGAGCCGTCAGTGCGAGTTCCCTGATCAGTATTTGGTAGCTCGTTTGTGTTACCCTTTCCAATACAATCCATCTCCTTTGCCCTCACAATAGCCAGGTACGTTTTCTTTATAAACTAGAAAAGGCCCAGAGAAATCAAGTGATATGTTCAAATTCAGAACTGGAGGTAAGACCATCGCTTTGCTGTCTTAAAGTTCCCCTACTAAAGAATGTTTCGAAAGACAACGTTCTCTTGAACATCTGCTCGTTGGGTTTACATTGTAATCGACTAAAATGAGAGCAACTTTTGAGGGTTGAAGAGTCAGACAAAAACGCCTGAAGTGATTGTATGGGGATTATATGGCAGGTGTTCTGTGTGGCCAGAGGGGTTGATGCGAAGAGCCACCCACCGGAAAGTAAAAAGCAGTGTGTCTGGAAGCCCTCAGAGAGAGGCCATGGCTGACACTTCCCCTTTTCCTCTACCTCCGCTTTGCTCATCTTTTTGTGTTTGTGGTCAGCAGTTTTATAACCCCCCCCCCCCACCAATGTGCAGTATAGTCCAGAATGCACCATGTAATTATGGATTTGAAATGTATTACTCAAGGTCATTCCACAGTACCCTAGAAATAGTACCCCCCCCCCCGGAGTCCTGCTACCTTCCATGAGGAGAAGGACGTCTGCCATCTGCCTTATCATCCTTTACACAAGAAGCTTTATTTTTATAAGGAGATGGAATGAGGAGAACTCAAAGTTCCTTCTTCCACAAGACAAATTAGGACTCTGCTTTTTGATGGATTAGCTTCAGTTTCATTGGTTGCTTTGTGGATACAATTCAGTAAATCCTCACACTAACGGTGTGAGAAGCACTTGGAAAAACTGAAAGGCAGCTAAGGTTTCTAAAGATACGGCCTCACGCAGATGTGGTGTTGCGGTTCCTCGTCACTAAGTGAGCACTGTGGGAGTCTGCTCTGGTCTGAAGCAGAGGAAGTACAGATATGGCCACAGTCTTTTTCTGAGAAGAGTCGGCAATGGCTCTTGGTATAGATAGGTCTCTTTCTTTTTGCCGCTGTGAGAGACCGTCACTTCTTCATTTGTCCCCAGGACATTAACATTTCATTCAGCTGATTCAGTTGCCTTGTGAAACTAAGACAGTTTTTATTTAAAGAGAAAGAAATAGAAACCTTGCTGTTAAAATAAAGCAAAAACTAAAAACAACGATTACCATTAAATGCTTGTCTTTCATAGGATTATTTTTAATTGTTAGTTGATTCAGGGTACCTAAGGTTAGCAAAGATCTTAATGTTTGTTTTATTTATTGCTCACCAGTTGCTGCTTTTCGTAATAAACCACTTTGATTTTTTTGCAAGATTGTAATTAATTAAGGCTCTCTTTCAAAAGATTTAATTATTTCCATCTTATCTGTGTGAAGGTGTGCCTAGTGCCTGAGGAGGGTGGCAGATACCATGGAACTGGAATCTGGTTGTGAGCCACCACTTGGGTGCTGGCAACTGAACCTGGGTCTTCTGTGAGAGTAGCAAATGCCCTTAACCACCGAGCCCTTCCTCCAGCCCACGAGGCTGTTCTTTAGAGGCTGATTTGGTCTGTTTTGTGCTCCTGTAATAGAATACTTGAGATTGGGTAATTTATAAAGAGCAAAGATCCGTTCTCTTGTATTCTGTATGTTCCTGGCCAGGATCAAGGGGCTGGTTTCAGACGAAGGGTCTCTTCCAGACAAGCAAGACAGAGGACCTATTCCCTCAGGCCTATTTTAGAGCATCTTTAATCCATTCAGAAGGGTGGAGCTATCAGGACCCTAAGGTCTCACCTCTTAATATTGTTTTAATAAGGATTAAGTTTCTAGCATGTGAATTTTAGAGGAAATATTTGAACTGTAGCAGAGGAATATTTATAACATGAATAATCTAGAACAGTTCAAATATTATGAGGGTTTACAGGCATAGAATACAACCATTAGTTGTCAAAGAGATATATGTATTTATCGATATGAAAAAGATGTTCCTGGTATGATGAGTGCCAAAAAGATAAAGTATCGAGGGGCTGGAGAGATGGTTGAGTGCTTAGGAACACTTACCGTTCTAGCAGAGAGCCCAGGTTCAGTTTCCAGCACCACATCAGGTGGCTCGCAATTTCCTGTAACTCCATGGGATCTGCTGCCCTCTGGCTTTTGTAGGAGCTTACACTGATACAGTGTACATAAGCCTACACAGGCACACACATACACAGGGATTAAAAATCCAAAAAGAAAGAGAGTAGCATATCCAGTGTAGCCACCTATAAAATTGTACTGGTTAATATGTGTATGTACTATTTGTAGATGTCAAGAAGATATTTCCCCCAAATTTTAATAACAACAAGCTCTAAGCTAGGTGTGGTGGCACATGCCTGTGATACCAGCAGGTGGGAAAGGGGAGGCAGTGAGGTTAGTTCAGGGTCATCTTCTGTTATATAGTAAGCTTGTGACTGTTCTGGACAGCATGAGACATTGCCTCAAAAATGAAAAAAAAAAAAAAAGCTAAAAAATTAATCTTTGAATATTGTAATTTTTGTGTTTGTGAACATCTCTTTTTTACGGTGTCCACACATTACTTTTAAGAAAACCAATTAGATTAGAAAATACTTTCTCTGATTTGGTTAACTTGCTAAAGGAAGAACACTGTCTGTACACAGATGTGTTAGTTACCTACCTCTACGAAATGCCTGATGGCTCATCCTGGCAGGGGAGGCCCGGGGGCAGGAGGGTGAGGTGCAGGAGGGTGAGAGGGGTGTCTGGTTAGGGAGCAGTGAGGGAGGCAGAGAGGAGAACGCTGCGTTCTCCTCTTTCCCAGTCCATATGATGGCCCCGCCCATATTCAGGATGCTCCTTCTCACCCCAGGTAAGCCTCTCTGGAGACACTCACACATCTGCCTGGAGCTGTGTCTCCTAGGTGATTTAGCTTCTGTCAAGTTGACAGTTTCTCAGGTTTTTTTTGTTGCTGTGATAAAACGCCATGACCTAAAGCAGCTTGGCAAGGAAAGGGTCTGGAAATTGAACTGCCAATCCTGCGTCAGTCTCTTGAATACTACGTTCATGCCACTGCATTCACCTCCAAGTGTTGTTTCTGATTAATGTATAACAGATTTTGCATTGTAGTAAAACATTTGTGAGCTGGATGATGGCAGGGGGGTCATCTGAGCTTATTTTTTATTTTTTATTTTTTATCCTCTAGATCAGGGGTTCTCAACCTTTCTAGTGCTGTGACCTTTAATACAGCTCCTCATGTTGTGGTGACCCCCCAGCCATAAGACTATTTTCATTGCTAGTTCCTAGCTGTGATTTTGCTACTGTTATGAATTGTAATGTAAATATCTTATGTAGGTCTTGGGTGACCCCATGAAAGGGTCATTTGATCCCCAAAGGCGACCCACAGGGTGAGAACTGAAGCTCTAGATAATAGAGAATGCTCTGATTAAGAGCAGAACAAGAAGCCGTGTGTTGGTGGAGCACGCCTTTAATCCCGGCATCACTGTGGCAGAGTCAGGTGGATCTCTGTGAGTGTGAGACCAGCCTGGTCTACAGGACAGCCAAAGCTACATATAGAAACCCTGTATCCAAAAAACCAAAACCAAAACCAAACCGAAGAAGAAGAGGAGGAGGAGGAGGAGGAGGAGGAGGAGGAGGAGGAAGAGGAGGAGGAAGAGGAGGAGGAAGAGGAGGAGGAAGAGGAGGAGGAAGAGGAAGAGGAAGAGGAAGAGGGAGAGGAAGAAGAAGAAGAAGAAGAAGAAGAAGAAGAAGAAGAAGAAGAAGAAGAAGAAAGAAAGAAGAAGAAGAAGAAAAAGAAGGAGAAAATATGCAATGTGAATTAATACTGCATGGTTTAAAGAGAAAGGAGGCAGCTTGGAAGACTAGGATTCCAGGAGACAGAGCAAACGTAAAAGATTAGTTACTGTTGGCGAGAAGTTGGGGTGCTTCTAAAATTGGCAGTGTGGATTCCGCTGTTTCAGATCATCCCCGCTCGTCTCCTGATTTAAATCTGTTAATTTCCTTTGACAGGGTGTTTTAAGCCTCGAATACTGTGTAGGTATTATTGGCGGCAAACCGAAGCAGTCCTATTACTTTGCTGGATTTCAAGGTTAGTGACTATTACTATTGTGTTTTTTTTTATTGTTTTCTTTTAAAGCGGGAAGTTACCTTGGGGTTGTTTGGAAACAAGATGGTTGCCGGAGCCCCGTGACTGAGGGCCTCACGCTGTTGTCAGCCCTCCCTCAGCCACTCACTTGTCACCTGATCCACAACATAATCCCATCCCTTAAAGTGTGTGGCTAATTTCTGTTACTGCACAAACAAAGCGTAATTTATTGGTTTCCCCGAATTCCAGAAGACGCCGCTGCCGCGTCCTGGCAGTTGCTATTTACACATTTACGTTTTTACCCGTTTCTTAGCGGTGTTAGTTGATGATGGGATGACAAGCAATATGTTCTTGCTGTCAGAACAAAGAGGCCAATGCATTTTTCATATGCAAACTGTAGAATATAATTGTGTGTTTGTGAAAGTAATTTTATCACCAAAAATTAAATGACAGTCTCATCACTTTATAAAATTCTGCTTATACAAGCATATTTGATTATGCAAAGTTAATCTATGCCTCGCAGACCCGCGTCTCCGTCAGTGAGTATCAGGCTGGCAGCCTGTTATACCTAGACTTTTTTCAGCTGCTCTACATAGAAATTGGATTGTAAGCAGTGTCATAATAAGGTGTTTTTTGAATTACTTGTCTTCTGTTTTGTCCTTGTAGATGACAGTTTGATTTACATGGACCCTCATTACTGCCAGTCTTTTGTAGATGTCAGCATAAAGGACTTCCCCCTTGAGGTACTGTACATGGAGAGCCGGGATTGTTTTCTTATCGTCTGAGGCAGACTGTTAGTCAGAGGTGTGCTAGGTAGCCCATGCTTTTCTCGTATTACAATCACAAGTTAGTCTCTTGCTAGTGTACAAAACCATAGCCAGCACTGGTCAAAGGCTGAGAGCTTGGCTGCTGAATTTTAATTTGTGATTTATTGCCTTCTTCATTTATGTCCATCTCCACCTCGTTAGGTACCTTGATTGTACTGAAATGAATGATCAAGCCTCTGAGTACTTTTGTAGCCAGGTAGCTAAGCAGTACATAAACAGAAGAATTGATAGCGTTAGGTCTGTCTGGGAAGGAGAGGAGACAAAAGAATGGTTCCCCAAAGAAAGGCCGACTGACTTGGCTAGAGTGACAGGATGAGGCCTCCACGCTGGCAGAGCCTTGGTCTCTGCTTACAGTTCATGTGCTTCTATGGATTTCCAGCAGTTGTTGAAGCTCGTCCTCATAGACTCTTCTTTCCCTATGGATGGTCACTTTGCCATCCAGGATTTTACGTCAGAAGAGTTTGAGTTCCTAAGTGAGATGGATAACTGTTATATCATTTAGTTACAGACTAAATGATTTTGATCGCAAATGGCAAGGACACTGATTGTAAAGGGCTAGTTCTGAGAAATGTGTTAAATGGTGTGTTTCAGAAATGCCTTTTGACCTGGTATTAATCCTTAATAGTATTCAAAGGGGTGTATATGAAAGGAATTGGCAAGATTAAAGTCTAGCTTAGAAGATGCATTATGAAAGAAGCTAGCCTCTTTTGTGAGTTCTGAGTTCCTCAGCTGTGTCAGCCATTCATAGAGTGTTGTATTAGAACCTTTTTAAACCTTAGGAGGTCTTTGGGGCAGCTGTGTATACACTGGCTAGGGCCGCACCCCTGCTAGGCGAGAGTACCACCACTGACCTAAACCTCCAACCCCAAAGCTGCACTTCCTGCCCTTGTTATATCAAGCGAAGATTGTAAACTGCCTCATTCCCAAGTATCCTTGCTCTCATGTCTTGTGTATATACCTCGTGACAGTGAATAGCATCTCTTTTATACTTTACCTGTTAATATCATTTTTGTAGACTTGTTAAAAAAATAGATGAAATTAAAATCGCAAACCTTTTATCTAACTCCAGGTAAATAATTACCTGTAATCCTGACATTTTAAATGACTGATCTAACAGGATTGTGAAATTTTAAGTAGGAGATTTAAGCTAAAGAATATGTTTAAATATATTCTTTGCTATTATTTTAACATGTTGATTTCTTACATGTTTAAAGTTGAACTTTCAGTATTTTGAAATTAAATTTGGTCAACTTCTTTTTTTTATGAATTGTCATTTATTGCATTTTCTAGATGGGAGTCTGTAGACCTCCCTTGAGCTCTTCCATGTATCTTCAAATGCTTTTGTTGTATTTTTATATTAATTTTCATGCTTGTGATATTATCTCATGAATATGTTAGGATATATTGTTGATTTAGCATGTGAAATTGAGTAGAATTCTATACTAGAAGGAAGAAAATCTTCCTCATTTGTAGTTATCTTCATTGAGGTTTGTTTGTTTGCTTTTCTGAGACAAGGTCTCACTATGTGGCCCTAGCAATAGGTCAAGTTGGGCTTAGATTCATGGGGATCTGCTTGCCTCTGCTCCAGTCAGTGCCGAGATTAAAGGTGTGCATTGCCCATTGCCACACCCAGCTGAAGGTAGCTGTTAGTGTGTGAAGAACGTGGTGTGATTTTCAAGGAGAAGTGGGGTTCACAGGAGCAGTTAAGCAACCTCAGAGAAAAAGATGTGAAAAGACAAGTGAGGAACTAGAGAATGAGATGAACTTGAGGCCTGAGCAGTGACTGCGGCCTGAGTTTCTGGTTTCCATTGTCAGTGACTAGAATAAGACAGAATTTTAGTTGTTGAAATGGGAGGACTATGATACATGTGTGTATTCATGTGTAGGCATGTATTAAATATAAATTTACATGCACATATGTATCTGCGTACTCAACATGAAATGTATATACAGTGTTTCTCCTAGTCAGCATCAGCTCAGAGTTACCTGAAGGCGTCACACATGGGGAATTGCCTCTATCTGATTGTCTTGCCAGCATGTGTGGGTGGCATTTTCTCATTGCTACTGGAATGTAGGAAGGCGGAGCCCCCTGCGGGTGGTACCATCCTTAGACAGGAGGCCCCGGACTGTATAAGAAAGTTAGTGGAGCAGAAGCTAGGGAGCGAGGCAGTAAGCAGCAGTCCTCCCTGGCTTCAGTTCTGAGTTCCTGCCATGGCTCCCCTCATTTACGGACTGTGACCCATAAGCTGAAATAAACTTACTTTTGGCTCTGCTGTTACCATGCAAAAGAAAGCAAACTAGGAAAGCATTACATATATGTGAGTAATGAATTAAGGTTTCCTAAATCAGAAATTTTTTGAGATGGGAACTCACAGAGATCCACTGTCTCTGAAGTACAGGGATTAGAGGCATGTGCCAGCACTCCTGGAAAATTCTAAGTTCTCAAAGGTAAGAAAAGCCTTGTTAATAGGTATGTGATTCTGTTCAAATTGACAGGTCTCCCAATTCCAAATTTCAGACCCAGGAAGGATCACACAGTGATAACTGTTTCGATTACCACCAATAAATTAAGAAAAATAGCGGCACTAAAGTTATGGGACAGCTGGACAAGCGAGACATGGCTTTTTCAGGGAAAGAATCACACATGTGAACTTGCGGTTCATGGGAGTGGTCTAACTTCTCAGGAAGCTTCATTCAGAAAAGCATAGGCATACCTGAAAACAGTTGTTCTGGTGTTGTTTACATGTTTAGCTAACAGAATCCATTATGCCAGTAGTTGCCATTCTTATATAAAGAGTATAAACCTACAGTATCTCCTCTAGGATATGAATTCCTTAATTAAACATCTAATCATGTCTGGAATTTAATAGGGCCCTAATAATTATTCCTTCAGACAAAGAATAAATGACTCATTAAAAAATAAAATAAATAGGAGTTGACTTTCTTTTTTTCAGGAATGTATTTCACCATTACAGAAGGAAGTATACAAGGTCATTACTCCCTAAACTGTGCATGTGAGGTAGAAGGCTGCTACTACCAGACGTCAGGATTTTAAAACTAAATCATACACGCATAGCCTAAAGAACTATCATAAGATGAACATAGCGGGGCGATACCACTACGGAATACATTTAAAAGGTGGACTTCTTTCGCAACAAATAGAAATTATTTGGAATTTAAATTAGTGTTGTTTTGGCTTTAGAATCTTGGGCAAACACAGAGATCGATCTAACGTGCCTTTCTGAGGCCTGCTTCTCACGCCCGACAGCCACTAGCAGCTTCACTTGTGAGTGAAATTGGAGATTTATGCGTGCTGTGTGGGTGATTAAAAAGTTCTCTGTTGGGGCTGGAGGGATGGCTCAGGGGTTAAGAGCACTGGCTGCTCTTCCAAAGGTCCTGAGTTCAATTCCCAGCAACCACGTGGTGGCGCACAGCCATCTATAATGAGATCTGGTACCCTCTTCTGGTGCACATGAACACAAGCAGAGAGAAGACTATAAATAATAAATAAATCAATAATCTTAAAAAAATGGACCTTTAAAAAGTTCTCTGTCATCCTCAAGTAGACAAGCCATAGTGTAGTGTCTGTGGTTCTTTTCCGTGGTGATCGCAGAGGAACAAGCACATACCGATCGGGTCTCTGACACCGGAGAAGCTCTAGGCAGTGCTGTGTGCAGAGGACACGGTCACAGGGGAGGCAGACATGCACCGTTGTCCTTGTACAGAGTTTCTGACTGTCTTCCTTATCAGGTGGTAGCAACCAAAGAATCATTTCTTGTTACTGGTTTTCAATGAATTGGGCAAAAGACTGCCTTTTAGATGTCTTGTTTTAAAAGACTTTCTGTAAATATGACCTAGAACTGTGCCTTGTACCCCAACACATTCCTCTATATTTAAACTAACGGTTTAATCTGTCTAAAACAGAATAGTTGAAACTATATTAGGAGCAGTCCAGTGGGACAGCGCTTGTACTGGCTAGCTCCTGAGACATGTGGTTTAGCTGGCTGGACCCCACTAGCTAAAGCGCTTTGTGCAAGTCCGGGCTTGGTAGATGTTCACTGTTGTGTTGGATTTGAATGAACCCCGAGACGGCTGCTCAGAATGTGTATCTTTCCCAGAGCTCCACGCCCTGCCATGGGTGAGTTTCCCCTGCCTCATCTCATGTCCTTTATGGGAATGAACAAGAATGTAAAACAGTAGAAAAGAAAATTGGAAGAAGAGTCAATTATGTGCCAATAATTTCACACTCAGGAGGCAGAAGCTGATGGGTCCCTGTGAACTGGAGGCCAGCTTGGTCTACATAGCCAATTCCAGGCTAGCCAGGGCTACCCAGTGAAGGCCTGTATCAAGAAATAAATGAATGAAACAGTAGCAAGAATAACAAAACCAAACAAACAAAAACTCTGAAGCTGACTGTATCAGTATAGTACATTTACCAGTCTGTGGTCTGTGTGTTAGAGTATTAGAATAATCTTATTAAAGGGGTTTTAAACATTAGGAAGAACCTTCATATATTCGCATGCACATATAAGATTAGAAAGAACCCCTATCCAGGTGTACATATTTGTCCGAGTTTAACTACAAATAACTATGGTATGACATTTTCCACATTTTAAATTTTACTTTATTTTTATTAATTTATTCACCTTTCATCCTGATTTTTTTTTTCACATTTTAAAAGTGACTGATTTATTTTATATTAGGGGTATGAGTTTATGCACTGCATGAGTGCAGTGCCCATGGAGGCCAGAAGGGGGCATTTGCGAGCCAGCTCGTACTGGGCTGGGTCCTCTGCAGCAGCAGCCAGTGCTCTTAACTCCCAAGCCATCTCTCCAGCCCCGGAACATAAAAGTTTTAAGTCAGTTCTCCGTTATAGATAATTTGGTTCATTTCTCACTTTTGGCTATATGGATAAAACTGCAACGTATTTTATAAACAATGAAGAATCTCTAATAAATGAGACGCCCCCTCATAGAGATGGCTGGCTAACAGCGTTCTAGACTAGACTGCTGACTCTGGTCATCTGTGCTGCTTCCTTTCTTCAAGCATTAGAAATGTAGGAAGGAAGGACGGAAGGCAGGAAGGCAGGCAGGCAGGCAGGAGGGAAGGTATCTCTCACTTGAAGAACTGGCTTTATTTTGCTGAGCAGCGCTGTCATATAGGGTGAAGGTTTGGTTAAAAATGCACAATGCTGCTTCTTGTGTTTCACATTTTTAAAGAGAATGGGAATGCCTAAAACGCTCCTTAGAAAATGTGTTTATTATAGTGTTGAGAAGAAGTATTTACATCAGCCTACCAGGTAAGGGTAGATTAATTTCAAACTATTCTGAAAATTACAGACGTTCCACTGCCCTTCTCCTAAAAAGATGTCATTTCGAAAAATGGATCCTAGTTGTACGATAGGATTTTACTGTCGAAACGTCCAGGACTTTGAACGAGCATCTGAAGAAATCACTAAGGTACCTTGTTAAAAGCACTTTGTAATAATGTTTGTAGGTTACACAATCTCTATTTCATAACAATAAGTGTGTAAACTGCTAAATGTTTGTAAAAATTTCCTTGGATGTTACTATTAACAGCTTTGGGGAGACAAATGGAGTCAGTGACTAGTTAAAAGCGTTGGCCACTAGGTGGCAGTGTTGAAATAAAAATCCTGCTAACTGTGGCCCTGGGCCAGCAATTGGCTTACATCCTACTTGAAGAGGATTTTAAAGGGCACTCCCTTAGGGGTAGAAAAAAAAATTAATGAAGTATTTGATCAAGTCAAATTTCATTTCTTTTTAGTCCAAGTGCCCCTTTTATTTATTTTTTTAAAAAGAGAAATAATCTTTTTGGGTTTCTTAGAACTGCTCTATCAAATGAAATGTGCTGTCACCTTCCAGTAACCGTGCCTTGTCTGGCCTGGTTACCTAAGGGCTCGTTGAAGTAGTTGCTTGGCTACTTTCTCCATTTAAACAGGTGCATGTTCTTGCTGTGTGAGTGCTGCTGAGACACACGCAGAGCTTTAAGGCCTCCCGTACTCGGTACGGTAGGAAAGAAAAAAAGACTCGCTGCGTAAGAAGCCAGAGTGTAACCGGATGGTGTCTGTGGGGGCCGGTAGTTACACAGGCTGTCCTTTGACAGTCAGAACAGCGCTAGAATCACTGTGAGCTTGCACAGATAGCAAAAGGGTTTTATAACTGTTTAACCTCCAGCTGATTTTATTCATCCAGGAAAGTAGTCACAGGAGGATAAGATCTTACTTCAACAGTGTAAAAATAGTATGAAAATATTAAGTACAAAGCCTCAAATGAGAATTTTAGATTACTTGACCTGCCGAGATAAAAGAGAAATTTCACAGGGATGTGACAGGAAAAAAAAAAAATGAGCGAAGAGAGAGGGAGGTCCATGAAACCTTCCTCTGTCCCGTCCATAGTCCTCACCTCCTCATTCTCCCTGGCAACTGGGAGGCCAGTGAGCAGAGCAGAACATGGCGTCCTCATTGTTTCCTTCCTGAAATCATGATTGACGGTGTATGTTCTGGTTTGATAATCCTTTGTCTTTGTAAAATGCCATGTGTGCGCTAAGATATACATATCTAGGCAATCTGATGATAGACGCTGCCATTGATATTCCCCACAAAAGGTGAACTTCCCTGTTCTCCTTAACACTTTCTGTTTGGGTCAGAAAAGTGTGTTTGAAACAGGAGCGCAGGCTACTCCTGTGGCTGAGGCAAGTGGAAGCATTTACAGAGGAGCTGCATGTTGATCCTTCTTACCAAAAATAGTTATGGTTTTCTTCACCAGAAAAGCAATTACGATTATTGCTGATGTATCGGAGCAAAGGGAAAGGGAAACCATGCCGAGATGGGAGTACGGAGAATTTTCCAGAGCCAGTTAACTGCTTTCTTAAGCGAATGGCTTTTGAGTCATAGCAAAGCCTCACTTTGTCAATTGCTTTTGCTTGGGCAGGTCACCTTAAAACCAGAATTTGTCATTTTCAGCCAAATATTTTTATATTTTTTCAATAGGATTTATTTATTGATTTATTGCTTTTTCATTTTGAAAATGAAGCTAGGCCAGCTAGAGCGTCCTGTTTAGTTTGTTCTATGGGTAAATAGTCTCCTTAAGCTGTGTGATTGAAAGATGTTAATAAAAATCATTAAGCTAATTATTGGATGGAGTTTAGTCTGCCAGGGATGTATGTAACTACTATATACAAAGCATAAAATGACCAAGATGGGATTCCTGCTTTGAAAGAGACGTAAAGCTTTTCGACTCGAGTAACATTTACGCTTAAGGAGGGAAAATACGACTAGCAGACATATATTGCATTGAATACGATGTGTCCATGTAAAACTAGGAGTAAATTGATGAGGAAGGGAGCCAGTTGAACCCAGAGATATGGCATATCCAAGTCAAAGTGTTTTATTGTGATGGTGATCTTTAAGTTGAGCCTGAAAGTGTACGCATAATTTCCATCGCATAATTTCCATTGCTTAGTAAGAAGGAAACGTACTCAAAGCTAAGGAAACGATGAGAGAGAAGGCCAAGAGAAGCAACGCCGTGGGCCTACCCAGAGAGGGGTCCACTTTGATGGATGCCCAGTGTGCACAGAGGGCGGGGTTTCCATCCTCTGACTGCCTGAGCCAGACCCCGAAGGGTGTGGGCTGGACGCTTCAATCCTCACAGAGCAGTGATGTTCAGCAAACTTGGGGAACTCATTAGAAGCTAACCCAGGGCATGATACTTCCCGCTTTCAGGTGTCACTAAAGACATTTAATCCGAATAGTTCTTCCTTTTCGTGGGTATAGTAAACATGATTTCCCCTTTCCATGTAGTTTACAAAATTGTTTAAGTTGAATGGAAAGAAAAGTGTTCATTGATAACCACAGAGGTCAGGCGCATAGGGAAGCCGTGAAGGCCGTGCATGACTGTCTGTGGCTTAGGAGACACTGCTCTAGGAAAGAGTGCAGGATGAGAGACACCAGAAACGTACACTGACATAAGATTGTAGAGAAGCGTGAATGTCAGGCTGGAGCAGCACATTAATAATGGACTTTTATGACACCAGAATTTAAATTTCAGTCATATGGACCTATGAAGAAAAATGCCTGTTTTCTACCGCTGAGCTTAGGAAAAATTACACATGTACTATAATTGGCTGCAAATCCAGCGCAAGTGGCTGTTTCCCCAGCTGCATTCCTTTTCTTACTTGTTACTGGAACTTCCAAACTGTGTGAGTCCATCACACCCACACTTCATACAACCACAAACACCACGTCTTACCTTGCTACTAGATTTCTCGATCTTGCTTTTGTTAATGGCCCTTTAGCTCGTGTACAAGAACCTAAAACTGCTTATTTCATGTTTTAGTTACAAATAATACTCTACTTGTATTTTCTTTTTTTGAAGACTTACTTATTCATCTGCTTGTTTGTCTGTCTGTCTGTTTTTTTGAGATAGTGTTTCTTTGTGTAGCCCTGCCAGTCCTGGAACTAACTCTATAGACCAGGCCGGCCTTGAACTCGCAGGGCTCTGCCTGCCTCTGCCTTCTGACTGCTGGGATTAAAGGTGTGCGCCACCATCTCCTGACTAGAGTCATTTATTTTTGTGTGTATGGGTGTTTTATTTATTTATTTATTTGCTTATTTATTTATTTTGGGAATTGAACTCAGGACCTTTGGAAGAGCAGCCAGTGCTCTTAACCTCTGAGCCATCTCTCCAGCTCTTGTATGGGTGTTTTACCTGCAAGTATATAGGTGTATCACATGAAGTGCAGTACCTGGGAAGGCCAGGAGATGGCGTCAGATTCCCTGGTTCTGGAGTTTCAGATGGTGTGGCTGCCACGTGGGTGCTGGGGACTGAACCCAGGTCCTCTGCCAGCGCTTTCATCATGGAGTCATCTCTCCCGCCCTACGAAATCTTCATAAATCCGGACGCTACTACCTGGCTGTCTTTGTATATGGGAAATATATTCTACTGAGCTACTATTTGACTTGTTAATGATGTCTTTAATTTTAAGACAGCAAATGTTAAAACATAACTTATAATGTTTTTAAAATTTAGCATCATCAAAACATTTATTAACCAAAGGTTGTGAACATATTCATTTCTTCCAGAACTTTCATGCTGCTCTACACTTAGAAATTTCCGTATGTTTACCCCGCCTAGGCTTCTAGTCCTGTTTCTGGCCCCAGTCCTTTTCCTGGTCCAACCTCCTCACCCAGCCCTTTCACCAGCAGCAGAGCTTTCCTGCCTCCCCTCCTTCACGCCGCGATGGACTGAGCACTGAAACCATGAGCTGTTAGAGGAATGAGTCATGTAGATGTAGGAGCAAGAGGGTCAGGAATTTGGGCCATCAAGATGGCTCAGTAGGTAAGGGGCCTGCTGCCAGGTCCAACAGCCCGAGGTAAGTTGTGGGAAAGTTTCCACCTAAGGGTGTAGAATCCTCTGCTTCTTACCTGAGCACGCCTTGTTGCTTGAATACTCCATGAAGTGGCCCCTGTCCCCCAGATCAGCACCAACCAGTCAGCTTATGACAACCTTGCTTCTGCTAAATGCAAACCAATCATTTAACTGCCAAAGCTGGAAAGTCCCATTCCTTGCTCAAACCATAATGAAAACTCAGCTTTGCAGCTGCACAGGGCTCTCCTCCCTAATCCACTGCGATGGATGGTGGGGAGTGCCAGCTTAAGCCTGAAATAAAAGCTCTTTGTTCTTGCATTAAAGAAAAAAAAAAAAAGAATCCTCTGTTTCTTCCTTACATATTCTTGCTCTGTATTTTATATATTTTATGGTAATATCACTAATTATGTACAGTTATGATTATTAGGTCTTACTCTTCAGTTGCATCTACTGATTGGTTAAAATTTTTTCTAATGATTTAGTAAAAATTTTATCAATTTACTTATTTTATGTTATGTGGGATATTTTGCCTGCATAATGTCTGTGCTCCCTGGCCATGCTCAGTGCCTGAGGAGGTCAGAATCGAGCATCAGGTCCCCTGGAACTGGAGTTACCGTGTCAGCCACCATGTGGGTGGTGGGAATCAAATCCAGGTTCTCTGGAAGAGCAACGAGTACTCTAAACCACCAAACCAACTTTTCAGCTCCTTGACTGATGTTTTGTTTTGTTTGAGGCAGAGCCTGGTGTAGCCCCAGCTGGCCTTGTATACTAAATAGCTGAGGCTAGCCTGGTATTCATTCTCTCTGAATATTATCTACTTATTATTTGTATGCTTGTATGTGAGTGTGTGTGTGTTTACATGTGTAGATCAGAAGACAACTCTTGGGAGTCGGTTCCTTCCTTCTACCATATAGATTCCCACAACCTAACTCAGGCTGTCAGGCTTGGCAGCAGACTCCCTTGGCCACCGAGCCATCTTGACGGCCCAGATCCCTGAGCCTCTGGCTTCCGTATCACACGTGTTGGTGTTACAGGCCTGCCCCGCCTCGCCCGGCTGACTGAATCATTTGCAA